GTTTGGGCAAATGGGCAGGAAAAAATGTTTCTAAAAACGGGGGGGGGGGGAAGCTTTAGCCGGCCGTGCGGCTCCAAGCTGAGTTGGGCAATCCTTGGAAGCTTTTTTTTACTACCATTTCGCAGAACCAGGGACAATCGTTCCTAGTGGTTCGGCTGAACTGGGCTGAACCGGGAGGATTTCACCCCTGCCACATCCCTCTTCTTGGCTTAAGGTTGCACTGCACTTCCCAACTTTTACTTCCTGTTACCTCTCCTTTCTTTTCAACCAGAGTTCAAGCAATAACGTTCCCTAGCATAATAAAGAAATAATCCCGAATTATTACCTTATTGTATATTCTTTCCATTTGTATATGAGAACAATGACCTTCTTCCAGTCATGAGGAACAGACACAGCCTTCACCTAATCACATTAAACAAGATGCAGAGCCACTCCATAAGAAAATTACACCCATATTTTAACATTTCCCCAGTTACACTGTCTACCTCCATAGCTTACTACTTTTTGTATCTTTTCCAGTGCCATCTGTGTTGATGATTGCAACATATTGTAGATCTTGCAGACACAAGGTGTATTACAGGTGGAGCTCGTCAAGCTTAAATGATTTTTAAAACCTGAAATGAAAGACAGGAAGCATCAAATGTGATTGTATGAGTTCACCAAAATCTTGCAAGTTTCGGTGGTCTTGCATAAAGCTGTGAGAGCACAAGCAAGAATAAACATGATCTGGTCCTATTTTGAGCCATTTTAATATTTTATTGAAAGATAAATATAAAATATACCTGGGGTGCCAACGGCATCATACAATCTTGCAACAGTGGTGTTTAGCATGAAGAACTAGTAATAGTTACACAGTCACTGCAGTAAGATTATTATATACAAAAAAAAAGATGGAAACGTTCTGAAATGCCTGCAGGGAGGAATGATTGGTGAAGATGACCTAATTTGCAGAGAGGGCCAAAATGACTTTTTAATCAGAGAAAAGACAATAACCACATTTGTCAATGACTGCAAACCCTTTATGGTTGTCGGTTTTATTTTGTTTTTTTGCTGAAAACCATAAACGTGTAATCTTCGGGGTTAATGATTTGAAAGCTTAGAAGATGAAAAGAAGGGAGCAATCATGTAATCTTACAGTTTGTACATTTAAAAAAAGTCTCTAATAAAATTACCTTTAAAAAAACACCTAATAATGAGTGTTTTGAATATAGGTAGGTCCTCAACTTATAACTGAGCCCCTCCCAACAGACCCCCTCCCAAAGCTACTTATGACCTATTTCAAAGTTACGACATTTCTCACACACACACACCATTCCCACGCATTCAATCTTCTGACTGCATTTTGGGCACTCAGCACTGACATGCATTTACATTCACTTTATGGCTGCTGCTGCTGCAAAAAAGGCCAAATAAGGGGTCCCATTATGTGATGACCCACTTTATTTTATTTTGTTGCAAAAAGTTTTTTCTCCTTTTGAATTCATTCATAGATATACATTCTTATAATTGCTATTTAACATTTATCTATTCATCATTATAATCTCTATACTCATTTTTACATACATACATACATTTCTCTCTCTCTCTCTCTCTCTCTCTCTCTCTCTCTGTCTGTCTGTCTGTCTATCTATCTATCTATCTATCTATCTATCTATCTATCTATCTATCTATCTCTATATTCCATCTTACTTTGCAACAACCTTACTCCTATCTTCTCAACCTCCCTTCTCTGCTTCTTTCTTCCTCTCCTTCCTCCTTTCTTCTTCCCCTCTCTTTCCCCTCTCCTCCTCCCTTCTCCTCTTTCTTACCTCTCTCTCCTACTCTTCATTCCTCACCCTTACTTTCTCTGCTGTACCCTTTCTTCTTTTCCCTCCTCATCCCCCCTCCTTTTCGTTGTTGCCTGAGCCACTTTATGACTGTCACGGCTTACAACTGTAATTGCCAGGCTCAAATTACAGTTGTGAATTGAGGACTACCTAATGTATTTGTGGATACATTTTGTTTCTGTTGTTAAGGGTAAGACTGATTTTTCTTTCAGGAGGTTGCAATGAGAGTCTGGCTTTTCCTCACTGAAGCTTGTCTGCTTTCTTTGTTTTTCTGTCCTATCATCTGGACCAACTCTTAGTGATATACCATCATTAAATGCAAGCCAACCACACATACTAATAAAGCTAACAGCAACATCTCTTGTTGCTAACTACCGTGTTTTTCAGACTATAAGACGCATCAAGATTTTGAAGAGGCAAATTTTTAAAAAAAGGTTTTGCACTCTGCAGTCCTCCCAAAAACGGCTGTTTTTCCACAAAAACAGGCCTGTTCTTTTTCAAAGAAAAGGCCTGTTTTTTGTCAAAGAAAAGGCATGCATATATGCCCTTTAGGAGGCTTGTATAGTGCTCTTGGGGGCTGTGGGGGCAAAAACGAGCAAAAAATGGCTCATTCTTTGCTTATTTCTAAGCCAAACTATGCATGGCTATTTTTGCTATTTTTGAGCTCTTGGGAGGCCAAAAATGCTGTATTCAGTATATTAGATGCACCCAGATTTTCATATCTTATACTCCAAAAAATACAGCAATAGGACAGCACTCCAGAGGATCAACATCATTGCCCAGAGGATCATTGGTTGCTCTCTCCCCACTTTGGAAGAGCTTTATCACTTACGCTGCCTTAAGAAAGTTCAAAGCATTCTTAAAGATCCATCTCATTTTGGGCACTCTTTTTTTGAACCCATCTGGCAGATGGTACAGGATAATAAAAACAAAGATAAATAGGCTGAAAAACAGCTTCTATCCCAGGGCAGTAACCATATTGAATTCTATGGTATAGTACAATATCGGGATTTCAATTGCAATGATATAGTAAGTAAAGGATGTATGTTTGTGCTTTTATTTTTATAGTCATAATATACACTGAAGACGGCATTTAATTCCGTTGTGCCATGTGCGATGACAATAAAGTAAACTAAACTAAACTAAAACTAACTGCAACGAGAGCCGGAGACCCTGCCTTTGACTTGTTGGGACCTTAGCCCTGATCTCTTAGCTGCCTCTTGCCCTTTGTTTCTGTTCTCTGACAACATCCTTTATCCTTCTGACAGATTCAGGTTTCTTACTATCCTCCTGGACAATATCCAAACTCCAGCCAGCAGTACCGGCCTCTCTCGCACCCGGTGGCTTACAGCCCCCAGCGCAGCCAACAGCTGCCTCAACAGTCCCAACAGCCTGGTAAGTTTCCAGATTAGCAGCATTCAGGCAGGAAAGTTGGGGTGGGAGGAGTGGGGGGGGGGTGAGGTGGCAGCCGATCCTTGTTCAGGGAGAGCTAAGCCACTTTGCCCTTTCTTGGAACCTGAAGCAAGTCATCCTATTTATAGGGTTTGAAACCTAGATGCATTGAAGATCTTTGCGAGGGCAAATTTACCTCAGCCGTAAGGCACAAGCAGGTTGCATATGCCTTAAAGCAGTGCTTCTCAACCTTAGCCCACCTGAAGATGCGTGGACTTTAACTCCCAGAATTCCCCAGCCAGCTGGTCAGAGAATGGACCACAGCATCCACCCATAAGTCAGTTTTCCTACATAGAAGGGCACCGAAGGGGAAAAAAAAATACCTTGCTCTAGAGGTGGCTAAGGCAGATAAAATTATGCTCAGAATAGCTCTCCTTCCATGGGGTGGGGGGAATCTTCAAGAGGAAACTCCCAAGGGTTCCCTCATCCCATCTGAAAGGATAAATGTGCTCCATGGCCATCGAATACCGAGTGGCTGACTGGCTGGCTTGAACACAGAAGGGAGGTATCCCACCTCTGGCTCCCAGCTGTGGTGTCATAATCTCCCCTCTCTTATTACACTGCAGGGTTACAGCCAATCCTGTCCAATCAGCAGCAGACATACCAAGGCATGATGGGAGTGCAGCAACCCCAGGGCCAGAGTCTCCTCAGCAACCAGCGCAGTGGCATGGGTAGCCAGATGCAGAGCATGATGGGAGTGCAGCAGCCCCAAAACCAGAGCCTCCTGAACAGCCAACGAGGAAACCTGGGCAGTCAGATGCAAGGCCTGATGGTCCAGTACACTCCATTGCCTTCATATCAAGTAAGTGGTGCCAAAGATGGCAAGTGGAAAAGGGAAGGGAAGGAAATGGGAGGGAAGAGAAAGGGAGAAAAGGGGAAGGGAAGGAAAAAGAAGGAATGAAAAGAGGGACGGGAAAGGAAGACAAGGGGAAGGAAAGGGAAAGGAAGAAAAGAGGAAGGGAAAGGAAGAAAAGAGGAGGAAAGGGAAAGGAAGAAAAGGGAAGGGAAAGAAAGAAAAGGGGAAGTGAAGGGAAAGAAAGGAATGAAAACAGGAAGGGAAAGGAAGACAAGGGGAAGGAAAGGGAAAGGAAGAAAAGGGGAAGGCAAAGGAAGAAAGGAGGGAAGGGAAAGGAAGAAAAGGGGAAAGGAAGGAGAGAAAGGAAGGAAGGGAAAGGAAGAAAAGGGGAAAGGAAGGGAAAGGAAGGAAAGAAAAGGGGAAGGGAAAGAAGAAAAGGGGAAAGGAAGGAAGGAAAGGAAGGGAAAGGAAGAAAAGGGGAAAGGAAGGAAAGAAAAGGGGAAGGGAAAGGAAGAAAAGAGGGGGGAGGGAAAGGAAGAAAAGGGGAAAGGAAGGAAAGAATGGAAGGGAAAGGAAGGAAAGAAAAGGGAAGGGAAAGGAAGAAAAGGGGGGAAGGGAAAGGAAGAAAAGGGGAAAGGAAGGAAAGAAAGGAGGGAAGGGAAAGGAAGAAAAGGGGAAGGGAAGGGAAAGGAAGGAAAGAAAAGAGGAGGGAAGGGAAAGGAACAAGAGGGGAGGGGAGGAAAGAAAAGGGAAGGATAGGGGAGTCACAATTCTGGTGTTACACAGCACTATGTGGCTTGGAAACCTTCGTTGGTGTAATTTTTTTCAGGCCTCCAAAACGTAACTAATCTGTTCAGGTTTATCATTTCATGCAAAATTCACAATGCAGGTAATCTTCGATTTATGACCACAATTAAGCCTATAATTTCATGACAGTTTTAAAATGGATTACTATGTGGCCACTTCCAAGGTCGTTAAATAAACTCAATGTTCTCTGTGGGGTGATTTTTGCTGGAAACCAGAAGCAAGCTCTGGTTTCTGGCAAAAAGGTTGTAAGTTGAAGTCACATGACTGCAAGGTACTGCAAATGGTCATTAACAAGGGCCAGTTGCTGAGTGCCCAAAATGTGCTCATGTAACACACACACACACCCAGAGGAGGGGGCAGGGAGACATTAGAACTTCAAATCCAGCTTGTAAGTCCCTTTTGGGGGATCCATTGTCACTTCAAATGATTGCTAAGCAACCAGTCATAAGTTGAGGACTACCTGTATAAACAATTACACTGAAAATAGGAGCTAGGGAGTGGGAAAGAACAGTTCAGACCTGGAAAAGTAAAACAAAGCAAAAAACATTGCTGCCGGCAAATGTAAATAGAGACAATGTTATACTGAGACTACATCAGTGGCTAAATCCATATTTTCACTTGGATGGCAGTGAACAATAAAACAATGCTGTTTTCCCCACAACTTATTTTTTTCCTTCTGAAAGCCAACTTCTAGAACAGTGTTTCTCAACCTTGTCAACTTGAAGATGTCTGGACTTCAACTCCCAGAATTCCCCAGCCAGCGGATTCTGGGAGTTGAAGTCCAGACATCTTCAAGTTGACAAGGTTGAGAAACACTGTTCTAGAAGCTTTTTTCCAATCAGTGGATGATAACTGTGGGCTAGGTATTGTATAAGTCAAAAAACCTAAACCACCTTTGTTGCATAGTCTACAAAATGTATAATCAGAGATATGTATTCCATGCAAGAGTTTCTGCTTCCCAGCCTCCAACTACGTAAAATGTGTATACACAATTTGCAAACTATTCAGCATTTTTTTTTAAAAAAATGGGCTGTTGTTTGAGAGCCCTTGTCTATCTGTATAATGAATTGTGCATTGGTCAGAAATATTCACATGAACTGCAGTCAAGGGCAACAGTGCATGACAAAAACCAAGTGCTTGGTTTTAACGCATACCTCTCCAAACCTGAGTTTGGCAACTTAGAACCCCCTGCTACCCAACATAATTTTTTTTTCACCTGGATCTTTTCACCTGCTTACTGCCGTTCCTATAGTGGATGATTCCTGAGAAGTACAGTAGCTCTTAGCAATTAGCAATAGCAGTTAGACTTATGTATCACTTCATAGGGCTTTCAGCCCTCTCTAAGCAGTTTACAGAGTCAGCATATTGCCCCCAACAACAATCCGGGTCCTCATTTTACCCACCTTGGAAGGATGGAAGGCTGAGTCAACCCTGAGCCGGTGAGATTTGAACAGCCGAACTGCAGAACTACAGTGCTGCATTTAACCACTGCGCCACCTCGGCTCTTGGAGAACAATTGCATTTTGAATGCGGCAGATAAGGCATTGGTAGGCTGAGGTTTTCATAAATTGAAGTTTGTTCCTGAAAAATAAGAGCGCACAAGACTCTGAAAAGGAGAAGGTGGAATGAGATGGCAGATGAGTTGGGAGGAAAGAAGGAGTGTCATGTTGAGTATAGTGTGCTTTGGCCACTGTGATATAAAGTCTATTTAAAAAAAACCACAGAATAATTCCTGCCGAATCACAAATCTTTCCAGAGCTGTAGAGGCCGAAAGAGAAAACTGTAGATGTTACATAGAGTCTGATATTGGAGGAGGAATAACAGAGGGACCTTGGAGGTCTTCTAACCCAACCAGAGGAATCTGATGTTTTTCTCTTTCTCGATCTATACTCAGATCTACTTTTAAGGCCTTTTGTCATTTCCTCCAGAATTGCATCTTCTCTCCTTTCTTCAGGATCCAATCTGGGTCGGCCACTAGGACCAGAGGTTTTGCCTTCCGAGCTTTTGGACTTGTGCTGGAGCCCATCTTCCGATGAACAGGATGGGATCTGAAGATGGGCTCCAGCACGAGCCTGAAAACTCAGAAGATAAAACCTCTGGTCCCAGTGATCAATGCAGATCGGGTCCTGCGACATTATCCTGGGACATGAATATTCGCCTTCATTCATTCCTTTCTGTCTTTTAATATCCCAAGCAGGTTCCAGTGGCGAATGACTCTCAAGGTGTAGTCCAACAACCCTTTCAGCAGCCCGTGTTGGTACCAGCAAACCAGTCTGTGCAAGGAGGGCTCCAGGCCGGAGGGATGCCAGTCTATTACAGTGTTATCCCCCCAGCGCAGCAGAATGGCACCAGGTATGAGCAGGAGCCAAAACTCTATTTAACCTTCCTGCTTTGCAAAGCATCATTATTTTCTTCTAAGAATTCTCTTGATATATCAGCCAGGATTGCAGAGAGACAGAAACTCTGCATCAAAAGCACTCAGAACAGTGATGGACTGTTGCCTTTTGGTGCACATTAGATTAATGGAAGGGCTGCATTCATTTTTATGCTATGCGGATTACTTTGAAAGTTTTATTACCAGAATTCAGGTTCGTGACTTTTTAAAAAAAAGGAATTTATTTATTTATTTAGTTTTCAGATTTATAGACTGTCTTTATTTTGTGCAACTCGGGGTGGCTTGCATAACAATCCAACCTTCCACTTCCCTCATAATAATAAACTTGTGAAATGATTTGGGATGAGAGAGAGTGGCTAGGCCACTTCCATGCTTTAGGAAGGATTTAAAGTCACACTCTCCCAGATTCCAGTCCAGCAAAAGGGGGAGAAGTGGAGAGGAAGGGGAGGAAGAGGAGGGAAGGAGAGGGAGACCAAAAGAGATAAGCAGAAAGAGAAAATCTTCAAAAATTACAGAAAAGTACAAGGCCAGAATAAATGTGTTGGCATATATTAAAAGTTTTTGTATGTTATACTTCTTTTTAAAAAGAAATTTCCAAAGTAATGTACTGTATGCAGTTTAACCCAATGATGAATTATAACCAAAATGCCATCTAAAAAGAGGGCAGGAGAGAATTGTTCACAGTTCTCACAAATCTATCAAGCTTGGAAGCTTCTGTGAGGCAATATTATTTATTTTGGCATATTCACCATATTTATAGACAAATTTTCATTTCTGCAAATTCTAGTTTCTAAGCATTAGAGATTACCATTTTCTCTTTTGGCTCCTCTGAGTACAGAACAAAAAAGCACCCTGCTCCAGCCCTCCTTGATTTCTTTAGAAGAATCCATGATCTTAAAAGGTTGCTAGTATTTGTGTTCTGAAAATGCACAAGCTTCTCAAAATTGGTAAATCCTAAAAAAAGATTTAGCTGGTCGAATCATCTGAAGATGAGATTTTATCCTCAGCCTTTGTTCGCAGCAGATTCATTGGCTACCTCTCTTCTAAGTCTGATCTAACTAATTTCTTTTTATACTGCTAGACCTCTCTGGCATAAGCCCAATAGTAGTAACCAGAGAATGAGGAAATACTCTGTGTATACTGTTCCTATTCACTGAAGCACTGAATAAGCATCCCCTTAATTGAAATCACCCAAATAGCATTAGACTGGTGAAAATTACTGAGCAAAATAGGCCTTAGGAATGACCCTCTATCAGTATAAATACAGTTTTATCTCCATCATGATGACAACCTGCTCCAATTGATGTCCTTTTCTTTTTTCTTTTTCTAGCCCTTCTGTTGGCTTCTTGCAGCCTCCAGGTACAGAGCAGTACCAGATGCCCCAGTCCCCTTCTCCTTGCAGCCCACCCCAGATGCAGCAACAGTATTCAGGTAAGGCCCGGCACTTTACCAATAGAAACAGCAGACTTGGGAGACCGTGATTGATCTGCATATGGTACACCTGCCTCCTCTAAAAACCTATTGAAGCTAGGTTGATAGGAGTCACCTGTGGCCCAACAATGGACCTACCTTGACCTTCCTTGGCAAAGAACTCCAAAGCCTGGAAACAGTGGCAAAGGAGGTCTTCTCTTGCATTCACAGCAAATGAGATGGAAATTAATGTGTTCTACAGATCTTAAAGGCTTTCACAACAGCTTTATCTGAAATTATGAAGTCATATTAAGCCCTAAATAACGTTCCATATTCAGTTTCTGAACCCTTTTGAAAAATACATCTGGTACGTTGCCAGTTAGGAAGTAAGTAGATTCTTTACTCTGTAAACTTGCTTAGGACTATAAAGCACTGTGAAGTGGTATATAAGTCTAGTTGCTAATTGCTATTAGCTGTGAAACATAACCCTGGAGATCACTGTAATTTGTCTGTCCGGTGACTAATTCCTGGAGAAGACCCAAGAGTCTTAACTATCCCATGCAGGTGCAATTCCTTATTCAGTACATTATTATACAGTAACATCATATATGTGCTTCCCTTAGAGTGTTTTGGAAGCTTGGGGTCAGTCCAGTACTGTATATGCAAACTGGAGAAACATCTTCGTTGTCATTGCCCAATTATCTCTGCTTATGTTTTTTGCCCATCAATATTTTTTCCCTGCATAACCCTACCCCGCTTTGGGTTTAGGCTGCTTTGGACTGCCAAGAATTTGTAAATGTAGACCACATGTACAATAGCATCTCCTAAAGATGCTATAAAGCCTGTTCCTCAATTCTGTCCCATAATTTTCTGGAATGACTTGTAGGAACCCGTATTGTGCTTGAAGAGATTTTGAATCTAGTAATCGAGATGCTCAATTTGGTGGATGCTCCCTTGGAGTCAAACATAATTTTATGAAAATGTCTTGAAGTATAGCTAGGATCAGAAAGCTTTTTAACACCGATTTGGCTTTATGTGAAGGAACGCCAGATAAGCTTTCAAACAAGTTTCTGGATTCCCTAATATTTTGTTTATTTCCATGGAGCCCAACTCCAAGCCAAATCTGAACTGCTCACAATTATAAAGAAACAAGATAAAAAAGGTAAATGAAAATACGGTGAAGGAAATAAAGAAGATGGAACTTCCAGACAACCAACACCAAAACATATGCAAATTATGTAAAACACATCTAACAAGGGGCTCATTCCAGTTTACCGAACACCATCAGGGAAGGAGCCACGCAAATTTCTAGGGGAATCTCATTCCAGGAGGCAGTCACCCCCACAGAGAAGGCATGCTTCCTGGGCGCTGAAACTGTTTAATTGAGGGGATCCACCCAGTATATGCCCATTCTGTTGGCTCATACTGACCAGAGAGAAACTATGGCACTCCCTCTGGTTGGTCCAAAACCCCCTGAGGATGGAAGGAAAATTAATTCCTTGTCCCAGAAGTCTCTACTGAATAGACTCACTCTATTTTCTGTGTAGTGTCTGATGCCATCCTGGGTGTCAGAGAGGGCATCACAGTGGACCCCTATTAATTGTGTCCTTTGTGGATCTTTTTCAGAAGATCTTCTCGGTCATGGCCCTCTGCCAAGCCTAATGAATAAGGTCAATTGTAATGATAGGTTTTCAACAATGAATCAAGAGTAAAGTCTAGTCTTTGGCATCAAGCAGAAACGGCATCTCGGAACCATTTCCAGGGTTGTAAATTATATAAGTGTAGCATTTTGTCCTTTTGAGCTTTCTTGTGTTTGACAGCAGAGGAAGATTTTAAATGAGCAATCATTTTTCTCACTGTGACATTGAAGTAGGCGGGTCTGAGACAATCATCGTTGCCAATTCTGTGGAGCAGCAGTAATTTCTCTGCTGAATGGGGCCCATCTGGTTTTATCCTGCAGCTTTTCCCCAGCTGTTTTCCTCTCGGCCTCGGGTGTGTGTGTGTGTGTGTGTGTGAGAGAGAGAGAGAGAGAGAGAGGTGGGGGTTCAAAGTCACTGCAGTGAAGTGAAGAGGTTTCTGGGTCAAGTGCAGTTTCCCCATTTCCCAGGCAAACAGAGTGAGCATCTTCACACTGTTGACTGGGAGCCAGTTTCACAATCCCAAAGCTGCAGACCCACCATACTGCTTACCTTCAGGTGGTGGTTCTTTGTTTTCAAATGCTCTTCTGCAGCCTCAGAAAACTGTCCTCAGGCCGTCTTCGGGGGCTGAACAAAAACATGGTCTTTTGGGACAACTTCTGACAGGGTCCAGAGGCCACACAGAAGCCTATATATTGTCTGTGGAGATTCTGAGTCATCCAGGTCATAGTTGTCTCAAAGGTTCTTTATTCAAAAGGCAACGGGATGGGTTTTTTTTTCCCCCTTGAGGAAGAAAAAGACGACTTGGATGAGAAGCAAAACATCTTCTTCTTCCCCAAGGTGAAAATTGTCCAGCTGCCTTTGAAGGGGGAAAAAGCACCTTTGAGACAAAAGTCTGCCCCATTTTCACACGGCCTCTGCAGTCTCCAAAAGTCACCTCAAAAGCACACCCCCATTCTCACATATTTTTTAGAGCCTCCTGAAGCTAAGCTTGAATATAGGCCTCTCACACAAGTTCTGTAGGCCATGTGAGAGTACACCCCATTCTGGCATGGCCTCCATAGCCCCCCAAAATTGCACAAGAACAGGACATACTTTCGAGAATACTTACTGAGTGTTGGGTGATTGCTGACATGCCACTCAAATGTCATGGCGAGTCTTTTAACAAGCATGTCACAGGCTTGTCATCACTGATCTGGAAACTTTGCTATATCCAGTGCTGAGTCCCTGTCTCTCTTCCTCTTTTCTCATATTTGAAATAAGTGTTGATTAATGTGGTATTATATGGCTACTGCTGCGCATGATAACTCTAGAGTCAAAGCAGGCGTAGCTCATTTCTTCCTGAGTAGACTGCATTCTTAAGACTGGAAGCATTTTAGGGAAGCAAACACACATGAGTTTTTGTCTTCACACTTACCATACGCCAGGGGTCGTCAACCTTAAATACTCAAAGAGCCACATAGGTCCTAACCGAAAGCCCCCCGTTCAATTCTGGAGCCAACTGGAAGTCCGGTTCCCCCACCATAAAGTCTCCTCCTAGCGCAGCATCCTTTTTCCTCTACCTGTCCTAACCGAAAGCCCTATCAATTGTGCAGCTGATTGGAAAAACCACCCCTTGCCATAGTCTCTCCTCCTGGCATGCTGTCCTTCCCCCTCCCAACCAGAAGCTCCTCTCAAAATTGTGGCGCCAACCGGCGACAGGGAGCCACAGCAGAGGGATGAAAGAGCTATATGCGGCTCCAGAGCTGCGGGTTGCCGACCCCTGTCATAGGCAAACTGAAATCAAAGACCGGCATCCAAAGGGAAAGATTTATCTATTCTTTTCACAGCTGTTGGTTTTCGACTAAGAGCCATGTGCTTCCTAGCCTGTCTAATCTTACCTGTGTGCCATTCCCAGCATAGCACCCTTCGGATATTTTACAGCTCTTCCAGCTTAATTAGTATTCTGGAAGTTGAATCATGGCAGCTGGACTTCTTTTCTTTTTCAGTTTGAAATGTTTCTTTATCAGCCTATTCAGATTAGGTGAGAAATGAAACCATCCTGGAAGACATATATGGGATCTCACTAACTAACTTGCTCAGACTGCAATGCAACATTTCAGACAAAAAAAGAAATCTGGTTGCCATGATTCAAACTTCCTGGGTGACAACTGTACTGGGTGATTGAGACTCTTCATTGATGTATTTAACTACCTGTGCTGCCTTGCTGCAGACCAGAAATGGCTTTGTGGAGCAGCTGCCAGTTGGGATAAAGGCCAACGCTTCCTGGTTGCTGGCCTAGGATCAGCTGAGTCCCTAGACCTCCTTGGGGGAGAAGGGTAGTTTGGATGTTTTTTGATGTGGTTGCAGGCTGAGATTTGGGGTACAAATGCCCTGGTGGTCCTCTCCAATGGGGATGGGGAGAGTGCCATCCTGCTGCTTTTGCTTTTGGCCAATCACGGATTTGGGAGAACCCCCTCATTCTGTTGAGATTGATGTTCCACAAGTGAAGATGAGATCCTTGAAGATCTCTGCATCCTGTTTTTTGTATGGATAAGAAGGTTTGGGGAGGAGACCTTCAAAGGTTCTTTGCAGCTTGCCTTCAGAAGTTGTGGGTGCTTCATCACTGGGGGTTTTAAAGAAGAGACTGGACAGTCACCTGTCGGAAATGGTGTAAGGTCTCCTGCATGGGGGGGGGGCTGGACTAAAAGACCTCAAAGGTCCCTTCCAGCTCTATTCTGATTGATTGGATTGGTCGTATTGTTTTTGAAAATGCTGGGAGTTGCAGTCACAGTGTGTACCAGAGGGGGGCACAACAGGTTAAGGAAAATTGGTCTGCTACGGCAGTTGACCAGTCTGGTTTATTGCTCATTGTTCTAATTGAGATGTTTTTCTAAAAGATTTAATGTACATTCATTCATTTAATTTGCCTAATCGTACACTATGCCTCACACCTTTTAGAACGTTGCTTCCCCCCCCTCATGCTTTCAACATTTATTTCATCAGATTTCTGAGAAGAAATAATTTAGTTCAAATAATTTATTTTATTGCTAATGTAGTTCTATGAAACAAACGACCCTGTAAATCCACAAGATGATGAAGTGCTAGCATAGGTGGTCTCTGAATTAAGCCAATTTGCATGTGTTTAAACTGCATCAAGGAACATAAAACACGATTCACCATTTTAGCCCTTGCAGAAAAAGCGGGACACTCTTTGCATACATGGAGGAAGCTACCTGCCATTTTGTGCATACGCAAACACGGCAGGCAAACTGTGGGGAAATGGATTTTCTCAAGTGGTCCAGGAAGGAAATGGTGCCATAAGTCAGGAATTGCCTCTGTTAAAAATCGATTCTCATGAAGTTTCTCTTGTGACCACATCTTCTCCAAGGAGAGAAGAGGCTGGGAAAGAGACCAAGAAGGTTGATGACTTGACACAATGTCCAGAATAATCCGATCGTTTCCCCCCCCCCCCTTTCTCCTCTTAGGGGTGTCTCCGGCAGGGCCTGGCGTTGTGGTCATGCAGCTCAATGTGCCCAATGGCCCCCAGCCTCCTCAGAATTCATCCATGGTGCAGTGGAACCACTGCAAGTACTACAGTTTAGACCAGCGAAGTCAGAAGCCTGGTGACATCTATAACCCAGAGACCAGCGCTCAGGTAAGGCAAAGGGGAAGGGGGCCTGGTGGGACAGGGAGAAAAGATTCATTTGTCAGTAGTTGTGCTAATTGCCAGCCTGTAGGACTAACCTTTTGACTCCCCCCCACCTCTCCCTCTGTTTCTAGGCCAGCAGCACCCAGCTGAATAGCCCTATTACATCGCCTACACAGTCCCCTACACCATCACCCGTTACCAGCCTCAACAGTGTCTGCACAGGTCTCAGTCCCCTTCCGGTGCTCACACAGTTTCCCCGGCCTGTGGGCCCAGCACAAGGTAACAAAGGTCATGGGAGAGGGTTTATCATAATGAACAATGAAAAATTAGCCAATATGTTTATATTAGAATAAAGGGCGATTCCATATCAGTGGTTTTGGGACCTGAGCTTCTTGCTTGGGGTCCTATTCACCAACTTGTCAGTAGCAGTGCGGGTAAGACCACAATTGAGCTCCAGATTTCTGATGTTAAGTGAGACATTTGTTAAGTGAGTTTTGCCCCCATCTCACGACCTTTCTTGCCATAGATGTTAAGCAAATCACTGCAGTCGTTAAATTAGGGTTGTTAAGTGAACCTGGCTGGCCCATTAACTTTGTTTGTCAGAAGGTCACAAAAGGTGATCACATGACTCCCGGATGCTGTGGCCGTCATAAATATGAGTCAATTGCCACAGGTCTGAACTTTGATCACATGACCATGGAGATACCCCCAAAGGTCATAAGTGTAAAAAACAGTCATAAGTCACTTTTTTCACTGGCATTGTAACTTTGAATGGTCACTAAATGAACTGCTGTAAGTCGAGAACTACCTGTAGTGTCTTTAAGATAAGAGCCAAGGTGGCGCAGTGGTTAAATGCAGCACTGCAAGCTACTGCTAGATCAGCAGTTCAGCGGTTCAAATCCCACCGGCTCAGGGTTGACTCAGCCTTCCATCCTTCCGAGGTGGGTAAAATGAGGACCCAGATTGTTGGGGGCAATATGCTGACTCTCTGTAAACCGCTTAGAGAGGGCTGAAAGCCCTATGAAGCGGTATATAAGTCTACTGCTATTGCTATTGCTATTGCTATTGCTATT